TCATTCCAAAATTACTTAAGCTCCAATTAATCATCGAGTGCTTTTAATTTTATATCATAATATCATATTAATTTTAATAAAAGAAGATTAAATCTTTTTCTATCTTATTTTCAACCAAACATCGTAAGTTAAAATCTAAATTCAATGAAATTGCAATATACATGTTTTGGACCCCTCCCGAAAAAAATTTCTAGATACGGCCTTGTACCACGGTCTTGCAACGAAAATAATAACAGAGAAAAAGTATTTCTCGAATCGCCACGACGATTTCGGAACGTTATTTATCACGTCCGGGGTCCGACGACGTCGGTATTTCGAAAATCCGCGAACACTTTGCCTGAGCCAAACGGAACAATATAATAAATATACGCGCGCGCGCGCGCGCACACACACATATATTTATATTAAACGTACACGTTGTGGACGTTATAAATTGCGTACACACGAGTGCGCCGACATCAGTTTTCGAAAATGCCTTTGCTTGTTATTGCGTTCGCACGCGACGTGTGTTGCGTTGCGCGCGGAGCCAATCGGTTTCCAATTATTTTATCGGACCCGATTTATTATAAGCCTTTTCCCGTCGGTTCCGGTAACGGCCGTAATTGCATTCCGGGCGTATCTCTCGTTGCGCGTTACATATTATTATAGGTCTTGAGCGCGTGAGTCTTCCGAACCGATTTAAGTCTCTCTCTCTCTCTCTCTCTCTCTTTCTCTCTCTCTCTCAGTTCACTCGCAGTTATTCTTTCTCCGTTGCGCGTACGTACCGAGACGAGTCTTCTTGGCACACTCCCTGGCTTTTTATAACCGTCGTATATGTGCGCGCACACCACTGCGATATGACCTTAGCAAGGCGCGCTTTTGAATCCGGGCAACTTGCCCGATCATCGTCGCCCTGCCCACGGCGTTGACGTACAATCTCGTGGCGCCATTGGTTTTGCAAATCTCCTTATCGACCTGCGGCGTTAACATTGTAAACCAGGTTCTTTTCGCGGACGGCGGCGACAATAAAACATGTATGAACGATAAAAACAAAACCAATGGCGGATAAACATCTAAATGTTGACGTTAAGTGCGCGCCGCCGTACACCGTCCGCGTTATATTATTTGCGCACTGCAGTCGGGCATATGATATACCGTTCGCAGCGTAAAAGGATTGCGAAAAGCTTTAGCGATATGTAGCACATAACGCGTCCAATTCCGAGACGAAACTTACCGACTTTGAGTTTGAAAGTGATTTTTAAAATCGTTGTTCACTTGCTTCGAACATATTTTTTTGAAAGACAGTCGAAAAAAAATTTCCCACTTACGAATGAAAGTTTCGTAAGTGCTTATAAAAAAAAAGTTATCTCCTGAGAGAAAGAAACAGTTCATTTCTTAGATCAAAAAACTACTGTCAAATATTGAAAGTTTATATTACGTAACGCGTTTGAATGTATTCTACATTTGTAATAATAAAAATAAAAACGAATCAAGCGTCATCTTCAATATAATCGTACACGGGTTGCGAGATGAGGAAAACCGAAGTTAATATTATATTCTCTGTACGACGCTACGGTGAACGCGTGTTGTGGGCGATCTCGGTATTTATCTTGAACTCGGACCGATCATTAATATCAACTGATGTGCAAACATTATACACTCGCCGAAGAGCAATTATTATGGTCCGCACGATCTAGTTTTCGCGCCAAGTACGCAGCAGCGGCTGCACTCAATATATTTTATGTCATTCTATTCTGACACGAATCAAACTCTTCTACATCTGAACGCGTAAGCGATTGTCTGATTTTCGTTCCGGTTATTTAGAGGATCGATTTTGAAAAGCAACGAAGACAATTAGGTCAGGTTCGTTACGTTTTATAACCTACGAAACATAGGACATCGTATACTTAATTATATCACTCATCCACCTTATGATTACACATTTGCCCTACCTACGTAACACCTTTACATCTCTTCGCAATCCGACCACCGACATGCCGCTAACCATTCCTTCAGTCCAATCTTCTATCTCCGCCAAAGTTGATCCTTTCTCATTCCTACTATAGTCCTACTATATTTTTCATAAATTTCAGAATCCCATATTTCGTTCCTTTTCACATACTGTATGCCAAACCTCTTTGAAGACTAAGTCTCTCTAGTCTGCCTTATACGGACCGCTAATGGTGACCTTTTCTTCTCGTTTAATGCTAAACCATCTGTGCGCTGCACGTGTTTACTGCGTCGTACTGTTCAGCATAGGCGCAATTTAGGGGGGGGCTTGATGTGCTTAGTACCCCCATTTTCAAAATAAGCACCCAAAAATGTGTTCATATTAATTTACGTTTAAGTACTTAATACTCATTATGTATAGAAAAACAGAATTTTTATTGTAAAAAAATATAAATTTATTATTTAAATAATGGTGGTAGAAGTTCGTCCTTCTCTCTTTGGTCCTCGAACTGGATAATATTAATAGGTAGGGTTGCCAGATTTTGAAATCCCTAAACCGGAACATTATGTTGAATGATTCTTTTTTTATTTTGATATAAAAATAAAATAAGCATATAATTTTGTAATTTAAATATTTATTGGCCAATACAAATTTACATTATTATTGTATATAACCATACTGATTGAAATATATATTATTGATTTTATATTGATTTTCATATTGATAAGTCGGTTAAAGAAAACGTTGTTAATCTAGCCAGTGTTTAATGATCTTTTGATTACATTTTAATATAATTTCATTAATACATTTCAGTGTATTTAAAATTGGTAATACAACGACACTTGCATTTATTTTACTTTTAAGATACTGTTTTTGTATCAAAGAAGCATTTTGAGAATCCTGTTACCTGCATTAGTGGATGCCAATATTAGGCGGAATTCATTGTAATTTAATTGCATCTTATAAATATTTATATTCAATTGAAAACAAAGATACCTATAAGAACTTATTCAGTTGCCACTTTGTCTTGAATATAATGTGAATTTTCTTCCACGTAAACAAAAAATTACATCTATTTTAGTCATTATATTTTATAGTTATGTAAATTCATCATCATATCAGTTTTTCTTAATCTTTACTATGTTACCTACATTATTAATTATATATTTTATCATGTATGCGATGATATAAATAAGAAACCAAAAAATAGAAATATACAATATTATAATTATATTATATTGTAAGAAAAAATAAATATTATGTAAACAAAATGTAAAATGTTATTTAAGTAACTTCGCCATCATGATGGATTTTATCAAATCTATAAAATATTAAAACAGATAAATTTTATTTTTTATTATGAATTCAAAAGTAATAATATTTACCCTAAAACCACCATTATCTTTGACAAGTGGTTTGCTTTCAAAAGAAGCTTTTGATCTGATTTAAACGTTTTCGTGTATTTTAACGGTCTTAATGCTGTTGACATAACTTTCTCTAAACGAATCACGTTTTAGTATTAATAAATGCACAAAAGCTTTGGCCGTGCTAGACTAAAAATACGACTAGAAATAATAAATCACGTTATTAGGAGAGCTTTTAAAATGTTTCATTAATAATATTTAAAATGTTACTTTTGATAATTTCGAACCAGTCATTTGTAATATTTTACACAAACAGTTAATTTGTAGATCATCATTTTCTTTTAACACATCCGTTATCAACCTAACAATGTTTCTAATTTTTCAATGGATGTAAAATAAATACAAAATTCTAATTCAAATTCTAATTCAAAATATATTATATGGTATGTGTATCTGTAATAAAATATAATTTATTAGTTAGGTTTAATAATAGAGATATTATTGATTTTTTATTGTGGTATCTAATTGTTGCTCGGTACGGGTGTTTGTTGACAATTTAATATTTATATTCAATAAACGGTTCATTGGCAAAATTAAAACAAAATATTCATACTTCACTTGCTAAAACTGTTCTATTTTAAGGGGGAGAGGGATTGATAGAATTATCCCTTTAGAACTCGAAGCTAAATAAAATAAGACACAAAAGGAAGTACTTGGAGGTATCCGTTATTTTTTAAAAAATAGTTAGTTTTCTATTATTACACCTATTTAATATATTTATTTTTTAGTAAATTATTTTAAGTCATTATTTTTAGTACAAGCTTGGTCTTATACCAGGTACATATAAAATTACCGAACGATTACTCTTACAAAAATTGTTCATTGTATATTTCATGTAGAAATATAAAAATGTTAAACGATTATCTTTTTAATATAATACTTTTATATCTTTAGAACGTTTTTTTCATGAAATTAAAACTGCTTATAATTATTAGTTCTTAGAAACGATCCATGAAAATCCAAAATGTTCCTTATCTAAAATATGTCCTTATCTATACAATTTATAATTAATTATAATTTATAAATAGTATTTACTATCAAGTATCAATTGTATTATATTCTTTCGATTGTGTTGAGGAATCGTCTGTCAGTTGAGATTTTGGCTCTTCAGGAATTCTTCAACGTTTTTGAGGTAATCGTCGTATGCAAAAAAGATTATTTCCTCTTATCCAATGCACATGACGATTAACAGATACCCCTAAGGAAATTAAAAATAATGTTATCATTGGTATCAAGATCTTCCAAAAAACACTATTTTATCTATATACATCGTACACTTTTTACAACTTACCATCAGAAAACAAAAGCACTTTCTTTTGTATCCTATTTACGTTTCTGTTATAATTATTCGTATTCATCTAAAACAGATTATTAACAAACAAAATTAACTTGCAAGTGTGAATTGAAGAATGGACCGATGATTATAGTTATGCCTAATTATTGTAAACGTTTAATAAAATAAAAAAATACGTACTCCAGGACCTAAGAAAACCAAAATTGAATTTGGCTCCTTGCAATATATATTTGTTCTATATTAATTTTATTAAATATTTTATTCTCTAATTGGTACAGCTGTAAAAAAAAAAAATATTGATGTTCTCATAACACCATCTGTGGATTTACATCTGACAATTCATGGTCCTTCGTTAACCTCATTAGAACTTTCGGCGCCACCCTACTTGCCAATTTGGTTAACTTCACTATTTCCTCTTTAGTCATGTTCACTGGTGGTGACATGACGATGCCGTCTGCCCTATGCAGCGAGTGGGCATTGACAAAGAAGTCACCCACCAGGAAGACGATTCGGTTTTCGACCCCGTACACACGAGCATTATTCCGGGCGAACGTGATTTTGACCGGGTCACTGTCCATCGCAATGATTACATAAAAAAAACGTGAACCGTTTTTACGGGTCCAATGTTAGTATACATTACGATTTAATACACAATTAACGTGTTAAATAATGTAACAATAATTGTATTTTTATGTTATCAGTAATATACCTTTGCGGCAGACCATGACCAGTTGAATCGCGATCGCACCGGAACCGCAAAACGGGTTTATCACAGTACCCAGCGACTTACACCTGGAAGCCATCAGTTTTGCCAAAACTTCTGGAGGCCCGGAGTAAAGGGTCGCTGTAAAAATCGTAAAATAATGAAAACACAAATGGAGTCGATAATATAACTAAAGACATTCGTCTGTCTAAAATACCTGGGTCTGCTATGATGCCGTCGTTGAATTTTGAAAATCGTGCAAACCGATTTACCCACAATTTGTAGGTGGTGTTCAATTCCTGAGAATAGTACGTCATAATTAGTAAACATTGAAGAGTTCATGAGATAATTATATATATATATATATTAGATAATATCCTGTTGATTAGTATCATGTTATATGTATTTGTTTGTTTGGTGTTACACTATTAGCGATCGTTATACAGTGATTGACTATTGCAAATGGTCAGCGGCAAATTATTTTACCGCCCTCAAGTTCATAAGGTATTGAAATGATAACGTTTCTTTTTTTTAAATCTACTCAAGTATTCATGTGTGCGATTATGAGAAACAAATTTTGATCCCGACAAATGAAAAGCGTATAAATATTAATGTCCTATAACTACACTGCACACTTAATCGAGTTGTATCGCATACGTGAAAAATATGCAGGATCCGGAAGGGGGGATGGGACCCGTTCGCGTTGAACATGACCGTAAATAATTAATAGTAATGTGGTTTTGCACTCACTTTGGCGCGATTTTCTTCCATTTTCGGTAGTACGTAGGGGACGATTTCGTCTTCGTCGTCACCGATCGGACTGACTTGTTCTGCCGCCATGCAGACACTCGTCATCGAGTCAACCGCGTCGCAAATCGATGCAGATTGCGCCTCCTTGCTAACTTCGGTGACGTCGGACGTGACTTCACCGGCGGACGGGCAAGTCTGTGCGCACGTGTCAACGAACGTTACGCAGGAGTCGCCGCATGCGAAGTCGCGTTTGGCCACTCGTGCGCAGATGGTGGTGACGGGGTCCGTTTGAGAGCTGCAATCCGTAAAGGCTGCGGGACTGGTAGCCGTTTGACCACCGACGTCATCGCGAATCAGAGAGCCGTTTCGCAGTTCTTCCGGTCCTGTGCAACAACCGTGATGCGCGGAACCTCGACAGGCTAAAATACGAGCGATATGGATGATACGTTAAGAAAACCCAAATGGAGATTGAAAGTTGTCGTAGCGCAAATAGAACCTCGACCATTCGCACCTTGATCCTCTGTCAACCAGACCAGGAACCATGGCCATCCGCAGATGAAGCAGAACGCAATCAATTACAATCGCTCGTCATCCCTGTTCGTCTCCTGAACAGGAGCACTACGACGATCAGAACTGAAAAAACACATAAATATCATGCACCTCAAGCGCGGAGGCACTATCGATCGAACGTCGGATGGCAACACTTCTCGACATAGCAGAAACGTCACATTATCCGTTCGCGGCGCGTTATTGTCGTTCCGTACGATGTGTTATGGTACTGTCGAGTAGATTCGTTTACCTGATAGTCAATCCCATTTTGTTGAGATGAGTCAATGTTAATGTTATTTATTGATGAGTTCGCACTTGAGATACCTTGGCGCAAAATCAGGACAAGAAATCGTTGTGCTGTTACGCAAGGCAATGTCGAATGTTATCGAAATCGTTTATTCAACAGTTATAATTAAGTTGCAATATATTTGCCGCGTAACATTTAAAGTAGGTTACATAATCCATATCGTAAATGGCCAGTGTAGAAAAAAATACGTAGATTGAAATCAAATTTATTAGTTAAATAATAATAAATATAATGTTATTCTTTCGGACTGAATGTACCTATCAAACTTCGCCATTTAGTCTTCCCAAAAATGTGTTACCCCTATAGATACTAACGATTTTTAAAACTTTTTCAATATCGGTAAATAAATACTTGTATATGAGAAACGTGATTTTACATTTTCACTGAACATCCAAAAATAAAAATTTTATTACATAAAGACTTTCAAAAAATTAGGTATTTTTATGGTTTTATATTTAAAAAAAAAGCACTTTTTTAAAATTCGAATACAAAAAAAAATATCTTTTGAAAAAAAAACTTTTGGACCAGTATTTATATCCGGAAGTTTTTAAAAAAAATAAAACACAAACATCATTATAAAACTACAATATCCTTCGCTTCATTCAGAATCGAAAAGTGATTATGTGATGAAACATTTGTGTTTACAGACGGGTAATTCATTATTAGCCCAATAAAAATATATGATATATATAAATCAAAGTGAACCATTTTAATTTAGAAATATTCAAATATTTACCAAATATTTTAGTAACTGTGGAATTGTACGGGTTGCGGGTGTCTATAACCAATAAAGAACATGAAAAAGATAGAAGGGCTTCAGCACCCCCAGTATTTTTATTAAAATTGCACCCCTACTGTTCAGATATCATATTTTTCAAGAGGGCTTATATCGTACATAACAATAATAAATAAATAAAACATGCGTATGGACAAATTTCCATATCACTGAAACGCTAAAATCATTTCACCTAATAGTTGCGTACGTTAATATGTGGATGCGATCGGGTTGGCGGTCAAACGACCATCCGAATGAACTCCCTTTTTTTAAGCAGGTAAACGGATGTCGTTTTACAGATTTCCCTGATCGTGGTAACTGGATCGGTACGGAACGTCATAACGGTATGTAACATCAAGCGTTATTGAGGATGTCCGTGAATCCGGTGTTTCTTTTGTGCAACTGGTTCCCGCGGGTCAACGTATTTTCTCACCCTTTCAACCCCTAGAGTCTCGCGAGCCATTCCACCCGCAAGGTAGGTTGTGGACAGCGTGCCCGTATCGCGCGGTAACGGTTCAAGGAGTCGCGATCCCCCTCGAGGGCAGACGTGTGCGAAAGCACCGATGCGCATTTTATTCATTCGTTCATAACGCGTATAACGAGCTGATGAATTCAGAAAAAACCGCGGCGACGGTATCGTTGCGAAAAAAAAACTAACGGACGAGACCGGTCCAGGGTTCACCGCGATTACGGTGCGCACGTTTCGTCCGGGGTCGATGTGAAAACAGACAATCGGGAGGGAACGAAAAAACGGAGATAAAAAATAATTCGTCGGTTGCGAAATGCGTACCGCGTGCGCACAACACGTATAAATTATACGTTATAGTTATGTAACGCGCTCCGCGTCGTGTACGAGCGAGATCGATTTTTCCGTCCCGTCCCTTAGCTCGCCGCGGCGGTACTCGCTGGACGTCTGATAATTTTTAAGTGCCCGTCGAACGATATCGAGACGAGAGGGAATAGTTGAAAATCCATTTTGGACCCCAACAGTGTTATTACGCGTCGTACACGTTGAACGATATTAATACGACACGCAACACGCGCGGGTTTATTGTCAACGCGCCCGTACCTGCACCGCAGCTTGCAAACGCTCTGCGTGATGACAATATCGTGTCGCCGTCGACACGTGTCAAACTTATTTTGCGGCTTTCGGACACCGAGCGAATTAAAATATTCAATGCGCACACGTCGTAATGTTTAAAACACAGAACTGTTTTATGAATAAATTACAAACATTATACACTGTATAACTGTGCACATACCTACTGCGGTGAACACGCTCTTACGTGTAACGAAACTGTAGATGATAAAATTATAACTTTTATTGCTTATTACTCCTTATGCTCCGCGAACGAATATAATTTATTCGTTCGCGAAGACCGTAGACACCCGTATCAAATGTTATTTTACAAACGCGTACATGAATTTATGAACTTAACAACAACGATATGCTAATAATATTTATTATTATATTCTATTTTAATTGCTAAGAACACGTAACACGCAAATTTTTTTCTTTTTTCTTCTTCGCATTATGCACACTTTTGTTTTCTTGTATGTATTTAGAAAATTAACCTCTCTTCCGTTCTCGACTTGAAATCGATTTTCTAGTGTCTCTCCTTCGTTCTTTCGAGTACCCGACGAATTAACGCTTATAAACTTTCATGACGGTTCACGTGCAGGCGGTGCAAACCTTTATTCGTATAGAGATTGTTTGAAAGATATTATTATGCTGATTGAATTGGGAAAAATTTCCTCTCCGAAAAGTGGTAAAGTTTTTTTTTTTTTTAATACCCGATTTGTTTTTTAGAGTATAAACGTTTTGCAGCACTGAATACTAATGTTTATCTCCGTAATAACTCGTGAATAGATATTGATATAAAGTTTTAATTGAATATTTTTCAGAAGAAACTCATAGTTGTGAAATTATGCTTTTCAATAATCGGTAATCTCCAAATTAGGCGTAAAAAATATTTAATTAATATAAGCTTTAAAATATTCTTTTTAGAAGTAATTTAAAATAAAAGCTATTACAGTACAATTAGTTTCTTATTTAATTAAAATATAAATTTATAAAAAATGGTTAATACATTAAGTTTCTAAAGCTTCTGCCCAATCTTCTCATACTGCAATTAGTTAAAACGGGTTAAAAGCGAAAATTAATCTATTGACTAAATCGTCCCAAAAATACAAAGCGATTTCTCTTGACATGATCTTAGGAAGGTTGTGTAATTATAAATCTATATGTTGAAAATATATATGACACAAACTAACTCCATTACGTTAATTTTACAATATTTAAATTATAAAAATGGTTTTAAAAAAAATAATAATTATAACTGTACAATTATTATAAATAATAATTATTTTATTTGCAAGAGACTCATTAAAAGTAATTGCTTTGAAACTTAGCGGAGGAATTGTAGAAATGAATATAGCGGGTAATTAGTTTAATTTTCTGATTTTAACTTTGTGGTATATTCATTTACATTGTATAAAAAAAAAAAATTATTATTAACGTAACAGATCTAGATTTTAATATATGTATAATATATATATTTAATATATGTATGATTTTATACATGTAATAGTATAAGCCCAGTGTCGAAAAATCTAATGAAAATGTACGACAAAATTAGCTGGATGAAAATGAAAATAAATTGTATTTTATAGAATTTAGGTACATTACTAGTTGTTTAAGTTGAGTAGAAGTACACCCATACATTAATAAAATTGATTCTATGATGATGAATTAGCGTGTTTTACAGTAAACGACGATTGGATAAAATTTAATTTTCTATTATAGAATTTAAATATGTTAATCTGGAATGAAATAGATGAACTCGACTTCTATAAGAGAGAGAAAGAGAGAGAGAGAGAGAGAGACTTGAAACTGGCGCAATAATCAGATGAATGATGGGAAATGTATTTATTTTTTAAAAAATAGAATATTTTTATTATATATAGTTGAAATTAATTTTTGACGATTTGAGATTATAATTATATAAACAACTAAATGTCGATATTTTTTAGGTTATTAAATAACGGTTTAATAGAATTAAAAGAAAATATAATAAGGAATTTTTTAATTGATAAAAATGTGAGAGATTTTTATTGAATGCACAAAGTATCAATATATGTTGATAGAAAAAGCAATTAATTAATAGTGAAAAATGTTCCACCCACTGCCCACGTGTTATTTTAATAATAAAATGAGGACATATCCTGTTTTTTTTTCTGAGATAATTTTGATCCAATAAGAATATATGATTTCAGGATGGAAAGTTTAAAGTTAATTTCCGGTTGTCGAGGAATTAATAAGTGTGGCCCAGAATAGATTTGGTAGGAGACCGTAATCAAGTTTTGAACGCCATATATAATACAACTGCGGGATAGTTTGGTATAAGTTTTTAATAAGAAGAACGATGAGGGTGACGCGATGTGTTCAACGAAGTTTAAGATCAAGGTTGGTACCTAGGTAGGTATATACTTATATATTACATCAGAGACAAAAGGAATGCTATTGTTGTCGAGATATAGACGTTGAGATAATGTGAATATCACCGTCGGGCAAAGATAACATATTTTCATTTCTCCGGGGAAACTTATATGTTTAAAAAACTGCTCAAACTGTCGTTTAGAGCTTTGCGAGGAGTTTAGAGATTCTTCGGCAGCATTAAAGTTGAGAGAGAAGTGATATGTAAGGACTGAAAAAGAGAGAGATAGAGAGAAAGTGGAAGAGAGATAGAGAAAGATAAAGAGACAGAGCGGAAGAGAGATAGAGGAAAATAGAGAGATGAAGAGAGAGAGATTAGTACGAGTATATAATGATATTAAATTAAACCTTTAAGCGAAAAATGTAATACATTACGATTTCGAACGATATCCACAACTGATATTGTAGCGTATATGTAATGCGTATATTACCATAATACAAATTAACCTTTAATATTGCG